TGATCAAATCACAACAAAATGACACAATTGAGAGGCTATTCTCATTCTCCTGTCTTCGGGAGAAATTCCTGTGGACGAACAAATCACCTTAACATAGCTGACGCCAAGGTCTTTACGGCTGTACCCCCGGGTCAGATTCCGCATAATGTACTGGTTGTAGTCCTTCAAGATCCTCATGATGATGTCCGATGTCGAGATGCCCTCGGTGCGCTTTGTCTCCTTGAACTTCCCAATAGCTTTCACCTGCATAGACACAATCATCAGGCATTCCCTCACCTGATTATCAGAATTCATAGATGCCTAAATGACAAAACGGGGAGATTCAAAGGTCCTAACAAATTCATAGACATCATTGGCAGCTCCACTCGTGTCAGCATATCTGAAACAGTCAGATTGCGTTAGTCACCTCTCCTTTGATCATTTGGCCAAACTTTGTTGCATCAACACACACTTACGGGAGCGCGTCGTGAGCGACATAGTCGATGTTATGCTTGTCGATGAACTCCTGGTTGATCACCCATGGAGCATCCGGTATAACCTCGTCAACCCACCTTTGAAATTCAATACAGGTAACCAAAATACAGGTAACTAGAATATTCCTGGAAAATGGGCAAATCTTTTGCGTATTCGAGAAAAAAAAATACAGGTAACCAAAATAGTCAGAGAGAACCCCCATCAGTTTCGGTGGCAGTGCCACCACTGAAACCCTGAAAAATGGGGAGGTGGAAGCTTACTTGCAATGCCGAAGCGATTCATAGCGCTCGTCCTCGGTCATGACGGTCTTTCCTTTGTACATGTGGGTGATCTCATCACTGCAGCAACCTACCAGCAAGTAGGTGTTGGGAAATCTGCCGAGAGAAATTTAGCAGAATTCAAGTTTAAAAACTGATATCAGAATATATGAATTTCCGGACTTTTCATCATTTCTTTTTTTTAAATGAACTTTTCATCATTTCTTCTAACTAATCACCTATACGATTTATATCGCTAAATAATCAACAAGCAGTCTGCCAATCTTTTCAGGACAATTAATGGCAGTTGGCAGCTACATGTTCGACCACTTCCACACGAATTTTCTTTTTGATGTTCAAATTAATGAGTAAACGAAAATAAAAACAATCTGAGCGACTTTACAGGATCTCTGAATAATCCAGTTGCGAGGTAAGCACAAAATCTGGAACGAGGCAAAATAAGACGGGAAAATTAAAGATCGAATGGATGACGAGGCGCTCACGACTTCTTAGCCTGTTCGAGCGCGCGCGCATGGCCGAAGTGGAAGAGATCGTAGATGCCGTCGGCGTACACCCTGAGAGGCCGCGCGTCGGAGCTCACCGATGGCGAGGTCTCCGCCACAGCCTCTATCGCCGGCTGCTGCTGCGAAGACGGCGCCTGTGGCGAAGACATGGGATCGTACCAAACCGTCTGCGCCGCCGCCGGCGGCGGCGTCGCCGTTGCCGTCGCCTCCGGGACGGGCGCGTCCTCCGCTGGCTTCATCGGCACCGCTGGATCCTGGTCCGTGGCGACGAAAAAAAGGGCGGCAACGGTTTTGGTGGACGCGGGAAAATAACGACCGGCACAACTGGAACGGCAAAAGGGCAAAAAAAGTGACGGTTGGTAGATTGCAGGAACGCTGTGGGTCCCACAATTCGCACAATTCGAGGGAGGCCGTTGCTATTTACGGAACGGCAAATGCTCGGTTGTATGTACATATAATAGTATGATTTACTTTATTTTGTGAAATTTCTTATTCGCAAAACGTGTATACGATTGAATTTGCTTGAAAAATCTTTGCATTTCCAAGAAGTTTGATAGTTTTTTTTTTTGTTCGGAAACTAATTATTCTCCTTCCTGTTATGCTCTAAACTAGGGTACGGTGGTTAGGCATCACCGCATCAGTGCTGTTTGCTCCTTTTTAGCAACAAAATTGGAAGGCTGCCCTGTCAGGGCTGCCTTATGATGAACTGAATGGGTTAAGAGTCTGGACACGGTGATTTTTTTTTTTTTGAAGGTCAACAGGGGAGGCGTTCCCCACCTGAGTTCATTATTGGCCCAAAACGGCCCGCTATAAAGTTTTACAAGTCATGTTTACATGGAGCATCACTCAGACGGTGATGACAATTGAATTTGGAGGAAAGGGGTTAGATGGTGTTCATTCCTATCTTGCACTTTGCAACACCTGACACCATTGATCAACAATGGGCCTTTTTTTTTTCTTGGAAACCTGAACCTCCACTGCTCGGCCGCTGCCTTTCATGCAGCAAGAACTTGTGAGATGTTGTGCCTTTCATTCCTGAAAACCGCTGCATTCCTTGTCTTCCATAGTTGCCAACAGGAAAGGGCGATGAACGCCGAGAACTCTTCTTTGGGAATGTCCCTCGGAGGGCTCAAACTGTGCAGGTTGTCCACAGTATTCCGTTTATGTTTGGCATTCCAATCTTCTCCCAGAACTGGGCGCCGATAACACATCCGAATACAATGTGTTCTGGAGTTTCGTCCTCCGCACTGCAGACTTCGCAGATGGTGTCCGGAGCACATGTTTCCGATGTAGGACGGTTCCGCACTGAATCCGTCGCTGCATGAGGAGCCACATGAACATCTGTACGCGCGGTGGAGCCGAGTTGGACCAGACGAACTTGGCCCTTACATCTGCCGGCTGACCCCTAGCCTTTAACAGTTGGTAGATGGCGCCACTGTCTAAGCCGGACACATGTTTGCTGAATGGTGATGATCTTGTGTCAGGATCCTCTGTCAGTTCAGTTTCAGCAATGATCCCTTGCACATACTGCAGCTGCTGTGTCGCAGTGGGTGATAGTCTGGGCACCAAGCAATCAAGCAAGCCTGATTGTATTACCTCCTGAACCGTAGCCTCCTTCTTAGTGCAGTGACTGAAAAGCGCCGGGCAGATGTCCGCTAGTGCTTCATCATTGGCCCATACATCCATCCAGAAGGAACAATTCGCACCGTTGCCGAGCTGGACCGAGGTGATCGCTTGGTACAATGGAACGAGAGATCTCAGCGCCTCCCAGTGCTCCCCATGAATATCGCCTTTCAGCGTGGAGATGCAGGCCCTGCCCTGTACCCACTGCGCCCAGGCAGAGGATTGGGGGCAGTGCAGCTTGTGAATTAGTTTGAGCAGGAGGCATATGTTCTGTGTTCCCATGTCCTTGATCCCCAGCCCGCCGTGATCCTTTGGAGCGCACACCTGAACCCAAGCAACCAAACAGCTCGCCGGCGACGACTTTCCCGTTTTATCGCCAGACCACAAGAAGGCGCGTCTCTTCTTGTCCATAAGATGAATGACCGACGGTGGCAGTTGCAGGGAGCTCATGAAGTACACAAGCTGGCTATCTAGGACTGAGTTAACAAGCACAGCTCTGCCCATCAAGTTCAGAAGGTTAGCTTGCCAGCCGCTGAGATACCTGTCCGTCTTTTGAATGTATGGGGTGTAAGCGGACAACGGAAGCTTGTTGACCGAAAGAGGTAGGCCCAAGTAAGGCTGCGGAAAACCCTCCCTCTTGTAGCCAATGGCATCGACACATTGAGCAACCGTCTGCTCATCCATGTGGATGGGCACGAGAGTGCTCTTAGCAAAGTTGATATGCAAACCGGAAATGGAGGCAAACTGATCCAGTAATCTTTTGAGTGCAGACGCTCCTCTCAGATTTCCTTTGAGGACTATGAGTGTATCGTCGGCGTACTGGAGAACAGCACAAGGCAAACCTTCTTCGGTTGGGTGTTGGATGTCACCGCAACTCCTGATCATGCACTGCAGTGTTTCAGCAACTAGAAGGAACAGGTAAGGGGAGATCGGGTCGCCTTGCCGCAGACCCCGCTTGCAAGTGATCCAAGGACCCGGGCATTCGTTGACAAGGACCGCGGATTTGGAGGTTTTGAGAATGGCCTCCATCCAACCGATCCACAGCTCATTGAAACCCCTTGCTCTCATCACCCTAAAAAGACCGGCCCAGCTGACCATGTCGAATGCCTTAGCAAAATCCAGTTTGAGCACCAGCGCTGGCTTCTTCCTTTTGTGGCATACCTGAACCAATTCGAGGGCATATACGAAAGTGTCGTAGATTGACCTTCCTCTGATAAAGCCCGTCTGGTTTATGTCAATGAGGTTCGGGATTTCATCTTGCAGTCTGTTAGTAAGACTATCTCAACAACATCACCCAAAATACGATACCCATTCCATGTTTGTTAGCGCTACAGATAAAGGGTTTAATACATATTTTTGGTCTTCTCCGGTAACAGGACCCAAAAAAGAACCCTTTTTGCAAATGAGTCTCCAGGAGAAAGGATACTCATATTTAGGGGTTGTGCCTCTGCTGTAACCTAAAATAGATTTCGCATATAGGTATTATATTGAAGGCTGATACAGTACCATCCATGACCTATTTTAAGTTTGGGTCTCCGTATGGGTCATCCATTGGAGACGGTCTAAGCACCTTGGTCAGGATCTTGAGTGTGCAATTTTGCAGGCATATTGGTCTGAAAGCATCCACATCCACTGCGCCCGGCTTCTTCGGAATGAGGACCATGTGGGATCTGTTGGTGCGCTCAAGCTGTGCATCTCCCCGGTGAAAGGCCTCCATGAAATGCATGATCTGCACGCGCACAGTGATTTAATTCAGACTCGTATTATTGTTGCTGTGAAATGTATATTTCCACTGCAAAAGAAAAGAGGATTTGGAAAATGTTTCAGGTTCCTGCCCTTTTTCAATGAATGCTCAAAAGCATTTGACATTTTTACTAATGCACCTGGGGTCTGGGGCTACAAAGCATGATTATTTCAGAAAATTCAATGAAGACACAAAGACAACATTCTTGTATTACACCTGTGGTCTTCAACATCACTATTTTTCCAATAAGGGAGAAGATCAGAAAATAGCACAGGAAAATTAACTAAACATATAAGCCAGCTGAAGAAAGAGAAGAACATCTGAATTAGTCTGCAATTCTGCATTGCATGGGTAAGTAATCTTCTTTCAAAAGTCTGCTCACTGCTGCTGATGTTGACCTCCAAGAACCTTCCTAATGCTGTGCCGCTGCTCTGACGACAACCTCTTAGGAAAATTGACATCGAACTTGATCCTCAGGTTGCCTCTTCTCCCGTTCTCCTTGACGATAGGCATCCCTTCCTTTGCAATCACAAGCTCATAACCAGGTGTCACCACATCTGTGAGCTTAATCACCAGGTCACGCCCGTCTAGGGTCTTCAGATTGACCGTAGTTCCTGCCAATGCATCCACCAAATCAATCTTCCGGTGGACCAGGAGATCGTTGCTTTCCCTTGTGTACAGATCATGGGGCTTCTCATCGATAACAAAGACGAGATCAGCAGGGAGCTGGTTTGGCTGCTCGTTGCCCTTGTCGGGGAATGTGATCTTAGTTCCCTTCTTCCAGCCAGGCTTTATATCGATTGTTAAAATCTCCGATTCGGTCCCTAGTTGCCTGTTTAAAACCCAGCAGTAAGAGAACTGAGGTAAGACTGTTAATCTGTTCAAATTAGCATTTTTTAGTTATTTATGACCTGAAAATTGAAATACATTATCCTTGTAACTACAAACAAGGGTGTGCTTTCGTAGGTGAAACACATCTAGTTTCTAATTGTAAATAAAGCTGAGTAGTCTCAAATGTGAAAGATGATGCAAAGCAAGAACCCAGCTACAAAAAATGCTTACCCATTCGGCTTCACAACGTTCCTGGATATCTTCATCTTGCGTGTTGAACCTGCGTATAACTCTTCAAGTGAGCAGGGCAGTTTGGTTTCCACAGGCGGCGGCTTCCGAGCCTGACTCGAACTGGTGCCAACCGATTCATTGTATGGTCTGAACTTGTTCTCATTCCCACCGAACCCACCGAAAGTGCCAGCACCTTCTGTCTGGAACCTCATTGACTTCGCTCGCCCCATGTTCTCGAAAGGCTTGCTGCTGCCAAAGAACTCAGCAAACACGTCTTCAGCATTGCGAGGATTGAAACGTTGCTTGGCAGCCCCATTCGTTGATGTGGAACCACCACCATCTGCGGAGGCCTTCAGACCTTCTTCACCATATTGATCATATATCGCCCTCTTCTGGGGATCACTCAAAACCTGAAAGGAGCAGAAATGACCAGCCATAGAATTAGAAATTACACACGATGTTATCACTCGAGGCAGGATCGACCACTCGATCAGGATAGCACAGATCAACATATTGAAAACCGACATAACACACAGGTCGACATGAATCTCCGTGATATATCCGGTTCGCAAACAAAACAACTACTATTAATCTGTACTAGTCAAAATGGACTTTCTCTGTAACAAGCACATAAAAATATATCCAAACTGTGCTTGCAATTCAGAGGTATACCAGTAGCAACTACTACCAAATACTCCAAAGTGTAATCAGGCCTGCGCCGCAAAAGCTAAGCTAGGAGGCGCTGCAGTTGCATCCAACGTAACTGCAAAGTAAAAAAAAAATGTCGCGCTGCAAATTCCATACCTCGTAGGCCTCGGAGATCTTCTTGAATTTGGCCTCGGCTTCCTTCTTGACGTCGCCAGGGTTCTTGTCGGGGTGCCACTTCATGGCCAGCCGGCGGTATGACTTCTTGAGGTCCTCCTCCGTGGCGTTCCGGTTCACCTTGAGCACATTGTAGTAGTCCGTCCCCATCTCCAACGCTCATGCCAAGAACAGCAACAGAACACAAGAGCAGCAACAGAACAGCCACCACCTCCCAAATCCCAACGCAATCAAATCCCTTCCTGGATCCACGCGAACGGCTACCGCCTCCTTCACGACGACTTCCCCCTCCGCCGATCCCCAATCCGAATTCCCCAAGAACCGCGTCAGATCAACAATGCGATAGGGACAAGAGGAAAAGCCGCCTCCTTTGGCCCTGCCTGCCGACCACTCCCCACACAGGGCAGGAAGAGCGAAAAGCCTTGCGCGCACTCTCAAACCGCGGCACCAGCGGCGGCGGCAACTAATTCTGCGCGGCCGCGTCACGCCAAGACGCCGCCTTTCGCCGTGCTCCTGGGCCAATCCGGGCCAATCAAGCTGAGACACCGACCGCGGCGCGCGCGAATACGCGGAGGCGGCAACTTGGCATAAAGCGGTGTGGGAATGGGTCTTCGCGGAAGGGGCCAGGGCAAGGCGGCGACGACAATCCGGTGCCGGAGGATGGAGATGGCCGGGGGAAGGAGACAACGGGGGGGAGATCTTGGGAGGCGAAGGACGCGGCCGGAAGGGACGTAGATGACAGGGAGAAGGAACAGGGGAGACGCGCTATTATTGGCCCAAACCGGCTTCCGTTTGCAAAAATAGCTACGCGCCATCGGGGAAACGTATCCCGGGGCGTCCCCGCTGGGACCGACATGTGGGCCCCACGAGACCCACCTGGCTCCTGGGTTTGTTTTGTGTGCGTATTTGAGCATTTCTGGATGATGCTTTGTTTGCTCAGAGACAAGGACATGCGATAGTCGTGTTTGAAGGGATTCTCTCAGGTAGTTTTTGACTAAAAATGGTTTCCCTGTGTCTCATTTTTAGAATGTGTTGGTATGAATTTCTTCTTATTTAGTGTCCTTATTAGATAGCAAAAATAGGGCTTCTAGTGTGGCGGGTAGGCAACAATTGTTCAGTCGAATGCTCTTTTTTTGGATTAATTACCCTTCCAAACTAAGGGTTTGTTGAATATACAAGAGTTAATTACTAGTTAGCTAGCAAAATTAGCCCCAGTGCATCCAAAGAGAGGACTAGTTGTTAGCCAATTAGCTAGCTAACCATAACTAACTTGGACAAATTTTTAGTCCTAACTAATAACTAGCCATGTGTATCCAAACAAGCCCTAAATAGGTAAGATAAGTGCAATGATGTCTTTAGTACTCCTATGGACAAAACTTAGGTAGCAATAATGTGCTTGCACCGAATCGTTAACAAGAGTCAATTCTTCTCTACCTGTTCATGCATCAAATACTCTAGTAGTTTGATTCAATATGGTTTGCTTCCATGACATCTTAAGGTTTGCTTTTCACTGCCACCGGGAAACCCTAACACCATAACGAAAAACAGAAAAGGTTTTAGGGCCCGTTTGGCCAGGCTCTTTTGGACTCGGGATCCTCACTACTGTACCAGATCAGGAGCTATAAATCATGGCTTCTTCTGACTCCACATTCATTTCATGAAGACAGAGAAAGATAACTCATGTGAACAATGCTCTACCGTGCTGGTTTAGGAGGAGTTGGATCTACAAGAAGTACTCACGTCAAACAAGCTCTTACTAGAAGAGTAGGTCATTGTTTCGAGAGGAAGACTAGCCATCATTAGCATAGCCATGAATAATTATAAATTACCCATTCTTCATCGCTACAAATGATAGAATTCGAATTGTGGTATACATTATCGAGATTACATCGGTAGATGACATTAGAAGTAGTGGGTAGACAGAGGGAGTGGAGGTAGCAAGAGGGATCGGAGCAAGAAAAAAGCCTAGCTAGTTGAGGGAGGCACGATTAGGATCTCTGCACGTTCCTGCCCGTACAGAAAACGAGCAAGCAGACATGCTCGATGTCTCGCTGCTTTGTCTCCTTTGCAAGCTGGAGCGTTGGGGAGTTTGGGATCACGATACCTCTCTTCTCTCTTCTCCTTATTATTTATAGTACTATATGCTAGTTGACGCCCTCTCCCTCTTTGTTAGAACCTAGAAGGCTCTGTCACCTGTGTGGCATGATCGATCTCCGGCCGGCCTTTTAGGATTCCGTTTGTGCAAATTTGTTTAGAGCGTGTTTAGTAACACAAGGGTTGAAAAACATGTGAGTACATGAATATAAGAAACAACTGAATAATAATACTAGTATATCTCTGGTGTAGTAGAACAAGTCCAAGTATGTTTTTGTGTTCTAACCGCCGTACAACTGGTATATAGGAAAAGGAGTTGAGATGGGTCGTTATATACGGTATTCCTACCATTGACAATTTTTGAGCTAGTATTATACATTACTATTGTCGGCAGTGAGTCGACTGTGTAAACTTGTAGTAAAATAAAGCTTCGAAAAACATCCCATAGATGTTTCTTGGTATCTATTAACTTGTTACTTGTTTTAATAGCCACCTATTATAAACATATATCTCCTAACATTACTTTACTAGGTTGTTATCCCTAGTGATGATGTCAGAGATGCTTGTTGGTACTACATAGCATTACTACTAGAATAATACTAAGCAGTTCTTTATCATTTTATGTGACTAGAAAGAATATATAAATATATGAATGAAAAGGATCTGCAAGGGCACAAATAATATACCATTGTAGCACTTCACCCGAGAGTATTCCAGGTATCGTTATTTATATTTTTATCACAGAGAAGGTCAAGCATGGACATGTATTGATAACTTATACTATTGATGGAGAAGTAAATCATAACCAATATTCTACTCATAACAGGGGTAAGTCATATGATAAGATATATATATGATAAGTATTGATCAATGATAATGATAAATCACTCAGAGTACTTCTTTCTATGGCATTAGCATGATCAGATAGAATATTAGAGGAATAATTCCTAAGTCATTCTTAATTACAAGTCAAAGCATACATTGATTAGTGCAATTATACCTAGTAGTCATTGTTAAGACCATCGCCATATCTACCACATAAGGGATATTACTAAGGAAGATTAAGAACATAACTTGTCTTCCTTCGTAACCGCATCCTACGTGCATACCTATATTCGGGGAGTAGACTACAAAGGACTCAACGGGAGTATCACATCCGCGATCTACCACATGACCTGGAATATAGGGTGAATCCGCAGGTAAACAACGTATAAGCACCACGCTTACACAATGTCGACCACCCACCCATGGATCCTTAGAGTGAGCGCTATACGAACTTATGCATAAACATGATGATAATCCAACTATACTAAGCATATAATCAAAGTAGACGATAAATATTATAACGAAGAACATAAATGAGATGAATATTAACATTGTCAAAACAATTATAGCAAGCATATAAAAGTAATGGAGATACAAAAGAGAGGGGGTACAAAGATTATACCAAACCACGCTCTTGACATGATCGGGAATCCAAGCGAAGCCTACTTGCCTCCCTCTAGACCTAGCCTAACTAGCTATGCCCTAAAATTGATGGAGCTCTGAGGATGATTAGGGTTTCTGTCTTCTCAAATGACTTCTCAATCTCCTCAGGTGGGTGACAAGGGCTGATATATATAGGCCGGAGTGTCTATCGTGAGCCCTTGGATCAAACCGACTTAAAGGACGGCGTAGATACAACCTAGGAGACGGTGGAGAACCGACATTCAAAGGAAGGACTGACATGTGGGCCCAAGGGGGCGGGCAGCCTACAGGCCCCACCTGGCAGCCACTCGGGCTCCGCCTCGGTATGGAGTCCTCTCGAGTCTTTTAGAGCCTCCTGGTGTTTGTTTCGCTGCGGATAAGCGCGATTAATTCCGACGTGTAGATCCACCTTGACGGTTTTCTGGATAAACCCTACAGAAAATACAGATTCACCAAAACTCGTGAAACTTATTGGTTTAAACCCCTAGACCTTCGTTGGTGATTATATTTATGCCCTTATGCCTGTTATATTGACGGCTTAACTACCGTCAACAATGCTCCAACCAGATTTGCAGAAAACTAATGGGCCGTACGTCAATTATTACTGTTACGTACACATACTTGAGATACGTATGGTTGTCTTGGACGTTCGATATATGAAATTCAAGGTCACATATAATAGCATAAATAGTAGAAACTAATTGTTGCTTGTGGTAGTCTTATTACAACCTAGACAACCGAGACATAAATTCCTTGCTTTTATGGAGTAGTCATGGAAAATGATTATGCATCTAATGAAATGTGTGTATGTATCATAAACATTATCCCCACCTACATGGATGTCACCGCTCACATAAAGTGTGGCGAGCAAAATTAAAGTTATATTTGTAGCAAAGCTTAGGAAAAATGAGCCTATAACGCGTGTGACATAATAATACTAAAAAGTATGACATGTTATAATTACAGTAGCCACCAAACAACTGCCTAAAAAAAACTGTGCCGTTGTAATGTCTGGCAGCGAGACGAATCCATCACATTCCAGCTCAACACAAGTGTCGCTCACTGTTCAGTTCTTCTCGACGGAGCAACATTTATATATTGGACACCATCAGTCCCCATCGATCTCCTGATCCTCATTACTTGCCTAGCCCATGACTTATGATGAAGAGGTTTCGTTTCTTTCATGGAGAGAAATAATGCTCACGTATAATAGGATAACCACATGAGCAAAGACAGCCGGCCAGACTACGAGGAAACAAATAGTGTTGTTAAATACTCCCTCCGTCTCTAAATAACTGTCGTCGTTGGTGTCTGTGCTATAAGTTTGACTCTATTTATAAAAAATGTGTGCAACATTTGTATCTTTAAATAAATTTATTAAAAAACTAGATTCAAAGATCTTTCAACTAACGATACTAATTATGTACTATAAATATTAATATTTTTTTAATATTTATTTAGTCAAAGTTATTTCTCAGAAAGTGAATACGTCAGATATTTAGAAAGGAGTATAGCTTCCTTGTTTACTTTGTCCTGCTCTTAAACTATATTTTCCTTTGTTCTGCTTGAGTACAGCAGCTCTACAAGGT